CAGAAATACCGGAGTTCTGCTTATCAACATGTACAAACAGTTAATCAAAGTACCACCCATGTTTAGTTGGGGGGCAGTGAGAATGAGATTCGGGCAGCCCAGTCTTCACCTCCTCATCACAGTCCTATCCTAGTGGATGTCCACTCGTCACATTATGTCCAGTAGACTGAGGTCTGGACTCAGGCTCCCTCACCAGCAGTCCACTGCTTAGATGGCGAACATTGATGAAGTCATCTGTTGTCACGATGCTGTTGATGGAACAACCACCTCCCATCACACACATCAATACAGACCTATTGTGGAGCTGTCTTAGGTGTGAGAAGCTTTTTCCTGAGTTGAGAAATTAGTTTGGACAGACCACCCTCGCTTACAAAAAGCCAATTAGAGCAGCATAATGCCGTCTTCAATTGGATTTGCATGGCCCGCTCGGAGGCAGCCGCTGCCTATTGTCCTGCAGATTAAACACAGGCAGCACAGCCTCAGGCCTCACTTCCCCTGCCTGCATGTACTCTCCTTGTACCAAACATGCACACGTACACAGTCGGTTGTGCTGATGGCTTTCCTTTGCTGTGTGACTGGAGCATCATTTAACACCACGACTCTGCTTTAGACAGCTGACTGAACACTGCCTACTCCTGATATTCACAGTTTTTAATCATAAATGATGAAGAAGTACTCCACCAATTTAGAGTTGTGCTTCCACAAAGTTGTGGGACTAGCAGGAGACAGATTCATAGATATCCTGCCTTTTGGCCCTTTACCATAAGGCCCCTCTGCCTCGAAATCTGAATAACTTTTTGCTATAAATTTGTAGTCTCCAAGCCAAAACTGAGATAACACTGATTACATCACTATGACATCATCAGGGGTTGTTTTCTCCTACTAGACAAAAAACTGGTCCAGAGCAACAAGACATTATCCTGATGAAACGTGCCTGAGTCTCATGTTTCAGTGATGCTCGTTAGCCAGAGAGCTTGGAAGGAAGTAAAGCGGGTCGTCCACTAATCAGATGCCTCCTCCAGTTCAGGGGCAAGTTACTAAACCCCAACTTTCTCCTGAGGGCTGTGCTATCGGTGTGTGTGTGAGTGTGTGTGTGTGTGAATGATTAGTTTAGATCCTATTGAGCAGGTGGCACCTTGTATGGCCAGCCTGTGAAGCTAACATTAGCAGAGTACGTTAGCACATCATTAACTAGCATTGGCTCTTCTGTGCTACGCTAGCTACTGAAGATATACTGAATGTATACACATGCTGCTTTTGCTTTATAATGATTGGAACAGAGAAGATAGACTTACCCGGCTTTCCAGGAACAGTCTTGTTATAATCGGAGCCATTAATAAATTGATCTGGTTATAATTGCAGTCTGGTCTGGTTTTACCTGGTTATCAGAACATTAACCTATAGTATGATTCAATTCCAGGAGACCCTGTATTTTGAGGAGCATTAAGAAGAGCATTAAAATACAACTTTGAAATACATAAATTGAGGAAACAATAGCAATCACAGATCACCGGTCCTGTGTTTTAGTATGTGTTAATTAGTGAACGCTGTAGTTGGTTCATGAAGACTTTTCTTCCAGGAGGATGTCCTAAGTGAGTCTTGAGGCCTGCCTGGCATGTAGCAGAGTGTGTATTTAGGGTCTGAACCTCTGTCATCACAGCACAGATCCTTCTCATGGACTCCAGTTGTGTCTATTGGTTTAGCATCTCCTTTCCCTTCAGATGACTTAATACTACTGTGATGCTGCTATGATAATACTGTTTCTCTTGCTCTGCTTTGATTATTGTGTTTCGGTTGACTTGTTTGGCTTATAGTAGTGTAGATGTACGATGAAACTGAAAACAGTCGTAGGTCTGCAGTGTCTGATAGGGCTGTCACTGTTTCAAACAGTCAGCGACAAACCAATTCAGAACTGACACGTACAGCTTCCTAACTTCTAATTCCAACGCAACCCAAATAGCATGATACGCTCACCCCCCACGCACAATCTCCATTTGTTTGTTGGTGGTCAGAGAGTCTTACCCTTCAGTACACCAGTGGTGGGCCGTCAGGGCCTGCAAGGCCTTCTCTGCTGGCCTAAACAGAATCACAAAGTTATATCTATTTTATAATTTAATCATTTTTCTTAAATACACATGTATTATAATTTATAAAAATATTTTCCCCATTATCTTATTTTCTCATTGCACAGCTCCTGTCTTCCTCAGTTGCTCTGCTTCCAGTGCAGCTTGTTTTAAGTAGAGCTTTTATCCAATCAGATCTCACCTCTGTGTCTCTAGGTAAGAACAGAGGCCCGAGACCTGCAGACTCACAAGTGAATCCATGTGCAGTTTAAGTGAATGGGGACGATATTGTTGATTGTCATAGTGTTCAACCAATCAGATCTTTAGTTTGACATGTTGGGCGTATTCTTTGACGTATCAGAGCCTGCGCGCCGGCCTATAATGACGTCAGCATTACATGCCGCTCAGTGTCCGTGTGTAGCTTTGCCGCGAGGTGCAGAGTGTGCTGTGATTGGTCAGTGGGCGAGCACGTGACTATCGTGAAACGAAATTTAACAGCAGAGGCTGATGGGTAGTGAATCACATCACGTGATGCAGCTCAGCCAATCAAATATGGGCATTCTGACTGAGTGAGCTGCACCATGACACAGGGGACTGAGACGAGGAAAGAGATTGCAGAGCAGTACGTTCAGCGTTCAAGTTGTGAAAGTAAAATCCTATGATAATCTCTTTGGGTCGCAGCGTGTCATTAAGGAATGATGGTGGATCCCACAGCCAGACCAGCTGAGAACATTATATTATCCTGAATTTAGGCTTTTGCATTTTCTAAATGCTCTGGCATTGTTCAAACGACTCGTACTGACCGGAGTTACAGCCTTAAAAATGAATAATAGCTGTGGCGCCATAATGTGGTTATAAGGTGGTATTTCAGCTGCAGGACAGCAGTGAAGGCCCAGGTATAAAATGCACGGCCCACCACTGCAGTACACACACATACATGTGTGTCTTGAGATGTGGTGCGACCTGCCATTTTATATGGTGGCTCCATTTTGGTGAGTATCCTGCAAACCTTCACCGTTGCTCTTATAGACTGAATTTTGAGTTTCAACAGGTCCTTACAGTTCAAATATTGAGTTTTCTGAGTAAAGAAAGCACAAGCCGTTCCATGGATGGGTCTACTGTAATGTGTTACAGTGCTTATTTAAAATGAGCTCAGTATTGGGGTAAAGATCTTAGAGCAGCCATCAGCTCATCTATTTAACTGATGTGTTTGAAATGAAGCACACAAGGCTTCAACTCCCAGCAATACCTTCTGACTTCCCTCTGCCTTTGTTAGAGAACCTTTCGAGTCGGGACAGTGATGTTGTGAGGTTAATGACTGTGAAAAAATTGCACTAAGGAGTCATAAGTTGCAACGGTGACCACAAAAGTAGAGGTCATGTAATTAGGCCGGGTCCTAATGATGGTGAAGCCACAGGAGAGAGCCCTAAACATCCTGACCAATTGGCTGTCAGCTGATGACCAGTGGTGTTACCCTGCAGGATACAGTCTGAGCCAACAACTGAACTAGCTTAAAAAAAACTGCTGGGAGGGAAACTACTCAGTTTTTCCCAATATAACAAATACTGCCTGGGGCAGTAACTGGAAGCTTATCTGAGTATAAAGAGAAACGTCTGTCTGTGTCCTTCGTCTATCTCGAGAACCGTTCCTCCGATCGGCTTCACACTTGGCCGGTGTATTGCTGTGCTCTGTTGAATTTGGTGCAGTTTGGACAAGCAACACCTTCAGTATTAATAAACTTTGAATACACTAACAAACTGCGCTCTGTGCAGGGGCGGAGCTTCAGGGCTCTGCAGACTCATTTTTGCTGCTAGATGCTGGATATACTAACATTGCAAAGTAACGTTTCTAACGGCACCATAAATTACTCGACATTTTTCCCATTTAAAAAAACAAACGAGATATTCAATACAGCCATAGTGTTTACAGCCGCTGTGACCAGGCTGTGCTCCCGTGTTACACCCGACCATTTCCTCGACAGATCTACTGTGAGATATTTGTTCCATTCAATGGGCAATTATTTTCGTGGTAATAAGCAATCGGACAAATGGGATTTTGTCCAATAGGTTATTGGGGTATCAGAATAATGGGCCTTCAGACAAATGGCATGGCACCCAGTCCTCAACTCCCAGGAATTTTGTTCAGCAGTCAAATTCTCAATTTTAAAGCATTTATAGAGCCAAGTCAATAATTATGATTAATTATGAATAAGTATGGTTGATCAGAATACTTGCCCACCTCCAGATATCATAGCCTAAATTATGCTGATACATCACCCTTCATCACCAGTTCATTTAAAAAGTTGTGAGAAGAGACGGGGCAGAGGAGCCGTCACTCACATTAACTTTGCACAGGCAGTTTTTTGGGTTTGAAAGAATGCCACACATTAATTTCTGTTCGTTGTTGCACATGCAATGACCCGGTTTGAGATAAAGGCTGACCCTTCACCTCTAAAGGCACATCCTGGCTCAAGACTTCCATTAATGACAAGGTTACAGTGTGTTTTGATTGGCAGAGGAATGGAAAAGCAAAGAGTTACTCAGGCAGTTCCTGTGATCGTATGCAGCTTCAGGTATCATTTTCCATCGCTCTCAGGCCCGTCCTGTCTTATTCCCTGTAAGGCCTTTCCCTGGGAATCAGACTTGTGGCTGCATTCCAGAGCCGTCCTCTCAAATTAGACTTTCTAGATGCTGCAGCCGTTCTGATGCTCCCTTCATTGGGACACACACAAACCCTGCCTTCTTGACCACGCTTGAGATCCTGCCCACAGCTCCAAAGCAAGTTTACACTTTTAGCCTCCTGCGATTTGAGGAACAGTAGTTTTGTAAAACTCCAGCAGGTATACAGTAAACACTCACTCACTTGTTGCCAGCAGTGGACTGTGCAACACACTCCTTCAGGCCAATCGTGACATCCGATAATCTTAGTTAGGAGCCAATATCAATAGGTAACCGATAATAATCTTGCAAAGGGAAAAATGTGTAGAGGAAAGTTTATCATATTAATGATACAATAATCAATTTTTCTAAAACAACACCAATGTTTAGAGAGGCTTTACCATCCCGAGAATAAAGACTGTTATTTTTTGACTTTATCTCCGAAATGACAAGCATAAAAGCTACAAAACCCTTTGAATAAGGTTACATACTGTTGCATTTCCTAAAGCCCTTGGACGGCATTGTCAATAGAGTGTTCAAACCTTCGACAGTAAACTGGCTAACAGCTCTATGTTATCCTCCTCCCTCTGCTGCTGATGTGAAGACTAACTGCCGACCGGTCCTGCTGGTAGTAATGAGGCACTGGTTGGTCTCAGTCAAGTCAGAAACATGGCTAATTAGGCTTTTTTTGCTCTTACATAGCAATTCACTATTAGCACAAGATGCTCCATATGTAGAGGAAACGGGTCATTTGGGCCACCTGCTGGCAGCAGAAGTGTGGCTTTATACTAAGTAATTTAGAAATGCTTCACTTAAAGACTGTAACTGATAGAAAAGTTTTGAAATAGTGTTTTTAATTGTGCTTGGCATGAAAGCTTGGCTCCTCACACTCACAATGTCAAGTTCCCCGAGTGTGAGCAACAATCCAAAGCCTTTGGTAATGGAAAGTGGATGGTACAAATTGATTACCTGCTGCTGTCGTCATTTTCCTTATAAAGAAGAACTGTGGTCGTCAAGATTATGTGGATTATGTTCTACAGCGCTTATTTGAGAGCTTCTCTAGTGATCAAACACCTCGGTGCCCACCAGCTGCGGGAAATTGTTATAAACCAAACCTCTGATAAAATTAATTCCATTTCAGGTGGAGTGGTTTTCTTCCTGTCTGTTGTTATTCAGAGGGGATGTTACCTGGTCAAGAACAGGCTTTCAGGATCCCAAACATCTTTCTGAAAGGATGACCATCTGTGCTAAACTGTGTTGGAAATGTGAATTATTATTTATAATTTTTTCTGGTTTTGTATCTGTGTAAAGTAGTTATTGCCCCATCATTTTTATCCACCAAAAAACGCCACTGAGGGGACGGGGAGGTGAAGTTTATGTTCCAGTTGTTCAACTGGCATTTGATAAATTGCTCATACGGTCTTCCTTACTGGCAGGTCTTGTTGCGTTGATGATTGAGTAAAATACAACCTCATGTTTGTTCCATTCTCTACGCTTAAGCAACTGCTCTGAACGCACTTTTTGGGTGGGCTGCCGAATATCCTGTAGAAACACTTTTATGGAACGTTTAATGAAGCCCTGAAGCTCAACAGACTGGTACTTACTGCAAGGTGCTTATCATGTTCTCGCAACATCATGGGTCTGAGTGCAGCTGGGAACAGAAATTGCTGGTCACACCTGTACCTTCATCTGTCATTAGTAAGCTGCGTGGTTGGGGGCAGACATGACATTTCCATTTCAATGAGCATGTGTAACATCCAAATGAACATGGCCTCAGTGGCACTAACACAATCCATCTCTTGTCTCCACAGATGCAGCAGCTCTTCTATGAGAACTATGAACCAAATAAGAAGGGCTACATACGAGACCTCCACAACAGCAAGATCCATCGAGCCATCACCCTCCACCCCAACAAGAACCCTCCTTACCAGTATCGCCTACACAGCTACATGCTCAGCCGGAAGATCGCACACCTGCGCCACAGAACCATTCAGCTCCACCGGGAGATAGTTCAGATGGGACGCTACGGAGCGAATGAGCCCAGCCGAGAGGACCTCCAGCTTGGCATGCCACCTTCATTTATGCGCTTCCACCCACGGCAGAGAGAGGAGGTCCTGGAGTGGGAGTTCCTGACAGGGAAGTACCTGTTCTCATCTTCTGACGGTCAGCCGCCCCGCCGCGGGATGGATTCCTCCCAAAGGCAAGCCCTGGATGACATCATCATGCAAGTGATGGAGATGATCAATGCCAATGCCAAGACACGAGGGCGGGTCATTGACTTCAAAGAAATCCAGTATGGCTACCGGAGAGTCAATCCCTTATACGGGGCAGAGTATGTGCTCGATCTGCTGCTGCTGTACAAGAAGCACAAAGGAAAGACCATGACAGTTCCTGTGAGGAGGCATGCCTACCTGCAGCAGACCTTCAGCCAGATCCAGTTCAGAGAGGAGGGGGAGATGGATGCCAGAGCTCTTGCCAGCCATATCAACAAGGATTCAGACTCTCTCTCATTTCTGTCCAACTCCCTCAAGATGCTGGTGCCCTTCAAGCTGGCCACCTCTGGCCAGGACCAGAGGGAACCAAAAGAGAAGAAAGTCAACATCTTGGTACCTCTGTCTGGGCGCTATGACATCTTTGTGCATTTCATGTCTAACTTTGAACGAGTTTGTCTGATCCCAAACCAGAACGTCAAGCTACTGATCCTGCTCTTTAGCACAGACAACAACACAGAGCGGGTCAAGCAGGTGGAGCTGATGAGGGAGTATCACATGAAGTATCCTCGGGCCGAGATGGAGATAAAGCCCGTCACTGGCTCCTTCTCCAGAGCTCTGGCTTTGGAAGTGGGTTCCTTGCACTTCTCCAATGATTCACTGCTCTTCTACTGTGATGTGGATCTGCTCTTCACCAGTGACTTCCTCAAGCGATGTCGGACCAATACAGCTCTGGGAGAGCAAACCTACTTCCCCATCATCTTCAGCCAGTATGACCCCAAGGTGGTGTACGCTGGGAAGGTCCCGAGCAACAACCACTACGTCTTTACCTCCAAGACTGGTCTGTGGAGGAACTACGGCTTTGGGATCGTCTGTGTCTACAAGGGGGACTTGGTTCAAGCTGGAGGCTTTGATACCTCTATACAGGGGTGGGGATTGGAGGACGTGGACCTTTTTAATAAATTTGTCCAGTCAGGGATTAAGTTGTTCAGAAGCACAGACACAGGGATAGTGCACGTTCACCACCCCGTCATATGTGACCCAAACCTGGAGGCAAAGCAATATAAGATGTGTCTGGGCTCCAAGGCCTCGTCGCACGGCTCCACCCAGCAGCTGGCCGAGCTCTGGCTGGAGAAGAACGACCACGGCTTCAGGAGACTGGCCAGCAATAACGGCTCAGTTAGGACAGCGTGAAAAGCCGGGCTGCAGACTGTCATAGACTGAAAAGTGAACCCGGTCTGTGCTCACTTCTCACTGCGTGGTGTTTTCACTACCTAATTTATTTTTTACTGAAACTAAAGACTTCACATGGATATATTTTGAAAATATGTCTTTTTTTTAAAAGAAAATATAAAGAAACACCGCCATGAACAAGTCATAGAGACAGTCTGGCTTCTAGTACGGAATTACATAATTGATTAATGATCAAAGAATTATTTTGTGAGCCTGATTACAACAAGGGCCCGAGGCCCCTCTGGCCTGTTACCTGGTATCTGTCAGGCAGGTGTGCCTAATGGAGCACACCGTCATGGTCCTTGAATCCATTGGTCTTGTGTGCAGAAAACCGACTGGTGTCCATGTACTCTCAGACCATCAGTGCTCCAAATAGAACTCAACTCTTGATTGTGAATGTTTACAAAAGACTGATTGTCAACAACATTTTATCAATGACAAAACTCAGATCACAGCTATCTCAGCGGCCGTGGTTCCGCTCGTCTGTTCAATGTGACTTTTGTCATCCCATCACACCCGGACGCATTAACTTGTCAAGTCTGTACACTCTGAGATCGGATCTTGCTCTCATTGGAATCCCATCAGCCAGACCACGTGCTGAGGTGGCCTGGCTCGCATTGACTTCAGATGTTAGTGTGTGTGGACAGCAAGTGGACCCACTCTAGACAGTTTATCAAATGTAGGTCTCCACATCATCTCCCGAGGAGAGATGAGGAAGAGAGGAGAACCAGGCTGGAGCCCAGCTGAGACCTGCTGTCTGAGTCCTGTTAACTTACTGCTGATGAAAACACGTTTCCTGAAGTCTCCTATTACTGTAGGGAGGAAGAGTAAGCAGCAGAAATAGCAGGGGACTTTTATTGTGAAGAATTTGCAGGAAATGAAATGTTTTATTCATCGTTCTAGAGCCGCCCCTTTGACCACAAAATGTATCCGATCAGATCAGGCAGGTCACACTGAAGTGTGGACACACATGTGGACACAGCTGAGTTGACCTGGTGCATCCGATGACAAAAGTCACATTGATACCACGGCCTATGATTTCTAAGGGCCGGCCATTACATACTTCCATTCACAGTGGTTTTCTTCCATTAGCTTTTATGGTTTTGGTAATATGACACAACACTGTTATTGTTTCTCCTAGATTTATTCATTTTAATTTTTGATTTCTGTGAACCCAACTGCTGGATTTTATATCTGCAACTGATCTTTTGCTGTCTTATTTATTGAATTTGGAGGCTTCACTTATACTCTCTGACTGTTGAGCTGTGTATAATGAAAAGATTGTATCACCATGTCAGATGTGGGATGGTGTTTTTTTTCATGTTACTTTTCTTAAACTCATTATCACCAAAGAGTTTTGCACAGTCTGCTTTAGGTATCATGTTGCCTTTGTGTGTGCGTGTGTGCATGTTTATGTGCGCACGTGCGTGGGTGGGTGGGTGGGTGTTGTTTTGCAGGCACAAACATGAAACTGACTGTATAATAGAGAGTAAACACAAAAGCTCTATCTGTCCCAGGCCTTTGATGGGTGAAGTGGGAACCAGCCTGGCCTTTAATTCCAGTGGGTTGAAATGGGAGCAGCTCTCTGGTCGGCCAGCTCAAGTCAGACGTCGCTGTCTCTTTTTATAAATGACTTTCTTTTATGTTGACATAAAGTGTTGTGGCTGGTCCCGGCCTACAGAGGTGTGGTCTGCTGATTCCATTGAGCTGTGATGTGAAGCCCCACATCGTCTGGTCCTGTGCTCCAGGTCTGAGGGCAGAACATTTCCTCAGTGATGGGCCTCACTGTCCTGCTCCTGTCTGTGTTGTGCATAGGCAGGTACTGTACGTTGTAGCACTCCGTCGGGTTGATGCTCCTCTTTCAGCATGAATGGCTGATTTTAAGTTGTAACAGAATGAATGGCTGTGTTGTCATTATAGTGTTTGTTTTTTTATTTTCTTGGATTTATTTTGTAATTTTTGTTCTTTCAACTCTGTCCAACTGGGCAAGGTTTTCTATTTAAGAAGAAATAAAATGGGGGAAAAGTATGTAATTGTGCTGCTCTTGTTGTGTTTCTCAGTCTTTTACATTCACAGTTATCAGGATGACAGAAACAACACGTAAAATACAGGACTCACCTTCTACTAGTGAACACGTAGCACTAAACAGATCAGCAACATGGAGACAGTGAAGCAGAGGCCTTCAGGGCTCCTGAGCCTGTGGGCCTGGAGCAGAGTCATCCAGCCTCAGGGACTGTGCTGGCATTCATATCCAGTCCATGGGAAGAATCACTTCATAACGGGCGCTAACTGCAAAGACTACCCAGGAATTGAGATTGTGCAAATAATGACATCTCAACAATAAATCTAATGTAAAGCAGCTGAGTTGGAGCCCATTAGTGGTTCAGTGATCTCTGGTCACTGTCAGGAAGCTCCCGCAGAGACAATAAAACGGGGCCTCCAGAGCAAATGCTGGATCAGTCAATACTCTGCCTTTACAGCTCTGCAGCAGACGGCATCTACCCGTTTCTATCAAACCGCTCTAACCAGACATTAACTATTAAAGCGGTTGCCAGGCTGTCAACCACGTATCAGCTTCTGGTTATTGAAACTGAAAATATGGTAGCCATTTTAATCACCTTATATTTTGAATAATTAAGATGTTATGCAGTTGTCCGCTTACTGATGAAATGTGACACGTAAGTCCTGTTCAGGTTCATCTTCATCAGTTGAATCAATTTGCATATTTTTGTGATGTTGACGGGTTATTGAAACTGTTCACCCCACAGTCAGTCAAACAGCCTCCTTTGCCTCCATTGTCCCTGAAACAGATGCATGCACACGCAAATAAAAAGCGTTGTCTGGTTCTGGACTTTAAGAGCAATACTTCAATATCGCTACTGTAACTAATATTACATATGTATTTATTTTGGGCAGCATGTTTTGCTGTTTACTGTTCCTATTTTATATATTTTTACAAAATGCCACTGATGTCAACCGAAGACCAAGAATTGGTCACCAGTTCCTCCGAATGGTTATCAATGGCACCCTTGAAAGCCTCTGTGGAGGACAGGTAGACGTCGCAGCACAGCCCTGCTATTGTAGTAGAAACACCCGTCAGACAGCGTCTACAAGTCTAAAATGATACATTTCACAAACACAGTAATTTCTACAGGTCTGCTGTAATACATGAAATGACTTCACTCAGGCGTTATCAGTACCATTCATGTAAAGATGTGGAACACATTCATGCATCGACCTTCACAGTTGATTGTTGAACTGGGAAACATCAGTTAACAAAGCAATCTTCCCCCAAGGTCTGTTCAGATCTATTTATACTTAACATGATATCAGAGGGTATTCCTGTAACCAGCTGGTGACTTAATGACCCCCCCCCCCCTTCATGAACGTGTAGTCAATCAAACACGTCACTACTACGGCTGAGAGCACCATGTGATTCTTTATTCAGCTAATCAATAACAATGTTCTCATTCTGCTGAATACACTTCAGGGAGATGCTGTCTATCATCTGTGTGTGTCTCTCACACACACACATGCCTTGCATGTTTTTTTAAAGACACATGGAGACAGCGGGGCCTCTGTGACATTTCACCTCCTGTACCATACATGCTGTGTGAGGCCAGCATGACACTTTAACTACTGGGCCCCAGTTTACTGCACTCTTTACCAACAGTAACGCCAGCAGCACCACAGTGAGGAATTCTACACTACATGTTTGGTTTTCAACATTTTATTGAAGTAAAAGCAGTGAAGTGTACTTAGATATAGTATGGAAAGGAAGGTTCTTCTTAGTACCTCCGCCAAGGAGGTTAAGTTTTTCGTTTGGGTTCCTCTGTCCGACAGTCCGCAGGATGATCAGCATCCTGCAGAAAACACTACTGGCCTGAATCTCATGGAACTTGGTGTAATGGTGTTGCATGGAAAAGAAGAAGCCACTGAATTACAAGTATTATTTTGTACTTGCATTAACATTGGCAGAGGTCGTCGCTCTCAGAGTGCCCTTCTAGTCCTTGCAGAGGGTCTGCTGACGAAGGACTATGAATGATTCATTAGCATGCAAATAGGATTGGAATATAGGACTGACATATTTAATGTGATCCAGAGTGAACAAAGCTGACACCATGACACTCGTAGCTGCTATGACTTCAATGTAAGCTACATTATGTTGTTGATATTTTATTAGTTGTTTTTTTCTATCTATTCGGTTCATTCTGCTAATATATGTGACGGAGCGATGATTGTCAAAATAAAAGAATGTAAAACATGTCAAATTGATGCTAATATTAGCGATGCAAAGTGGATAGAACCTGATATATATGGTACCACCACCAGTATTACAAGCTAATGATCACTGGTTAAAACTAGGTATATGCTCGCTGTAGTGGCCCCGGCACACCTTTAACATGTAGGTGGTTCTGATGGTGGTGGGGCTGACCCTTGCCACCTCTGGGCAGCTGTAGCTGCTGTATGAAGCTTGGTTTATACCCATCGTAGTGACGTCATCACAGCCTGCACGTTGTGGTCCCGCACCTCTGAATTATTGTAGCTAGGTGCTCGCTGTGCTCTGAGCTTTGCAGACGTGGCTGTAACAAACAGTTCACAGATAAAAAGCATCATGAACATGTCTGAGGAAGATGGCCAGTTCCTTTTTAGATGCTTCAGAAACCAGAGGTCTTAAAAATCTACATTAGTTTATATTTGGCAGCCAACATAATTGTTTACAGGATACCTGCTGTTTCATTGTAAGGCATTTAAAGCTTGATTTATTTATTTCCAAGGCTTGTACAAAGGCAATAAAGTGAGCTTTGTCTTTGATCAGTGAAACTCTTCATCAGGAGAGCTTTGTCTTTGATCAGTGAAACTCTTCATCAGGAGAGCTTTATCTTTGATCAGTGAAACCCTTCATCAGGAGAGCTTTATCTTTGATCAGTGAAACTCTTCATCAGGAGAGCTTTGTCTTTGATCAGTGAAACTCTTCATCAGGAGAGCTTTATCTTTGATCAGTGATACTCTTCATCAGGAGAGCTTTATCTTTGATCAGTGATACTCTTCATCAGGAGAGCTTTATATTTGATCAGTGATACTCTTCATCAGGAGAGCTTTGTCTTTGATCAGTGATACTCTTCATCAGGAGAGCTTTGTCTTTGATCAGTGAAACTCTTCATCAAACAATTCATCCAGTTCAATATGAAATCTGACAATAAATATTGTTGAGATATTATTCAATTGAACCATCTTTATTTTATTTGACAGTCAGTTGTTGACTACATACAGACGTTAATACAACTATTGGCTACGTCAATATATATGGGACTAAACCCAGTGGCGGGCCGTCAGGGCCAGCAAGGCCTTCTCTGCTGGCCTAAACAGAATCACAAAGTTATAGCTATTTTATAATGTAATATGTTTTCTTAAATACACTACATGTATTATAATTTGTAAAAATATTTTCCCCATTATCTTATTTTCTCATTGCACAGCTACTGTCTTCCTCAGTTGCTCTGCTTCCAGTGCAGCTTGTTTTAAGTAGAGCTTTTATCCAATCAGAGTTCACCTCTGTGTCTCTAGGTAAGAACAGAGGCAGAGGCCTGCAGACTCACAAGTGAATCCATGTGCAGTTTAAGTGAATGGGGACGATATTGTTGATTGTCATAGTGTTCAACCAATCAGATCTTTAGTTTGACATGTTGGGCGTATTCTTTGACGTGTCAGAGCCTGCTAGCTGGCCTACAAGTACGTGATTGGTCAGTGGGCTAGCCTGATATGTTGGGCGGTGACAATCCCAATATCTGCTGCCTCTGTCGAGCGGACATTTTCAGCCTCAAACGCATTAAAACCTATTCAAGAAATACAACTGGGGAGGCTCAACTGTCTTCACTGGCGTCCATGAATCCAGAAGGACTTCTTACTGGAACTAAAAACACACGGATGTACTGAACAACCGTGAGATTAACTCTTTGTTAACAAAGAAAGGAAGATGGACTTTGTCTTTAAATTGTGAACAGCAGCTCTGGTAAGTTAAATGTGTTTGTTTTTACATCTGCAGTAGCTTTAATATGCTTGTTTATATATTATTATTTGTACAACTTGTTTTTATGAAGATGGATTTTTGTTTGGTTTTATATGTGATAGGAACTATTGTTACGTCCTATGTTGCTCTGGGGACACATTTAGCCAGTGCCAGTGTTGCCAACTTGGCGACTTTCTCGCTCAATCTGGCGACTTTCTGAACCCTCATGGTGACGGTAACTCTCACAGCAGCCTCGCGCAGCAGTCAGAGAAGAGAGGAAACGCACTCAGCGTATTCATGTATCTGCACTCTGCATTTAGTGTATTTATAGGTGTTGAGCTTCATTTTTACATGAAACAAATGATAACCGTAG